GGGAGGGGTTCCCGTTTGCCTGAAGGGTTTACCCTAAACTGGGGGAGGGGAGGGAGCGAGCAGGAGCACAGCCCCCGGGGGGGGGGTCACCCCTCACCCTGCATGTGGCACGTGGCCATGCAACCCGTGTGCTGCGCTGGGGCTGCAGGCCTGGAGCAGCCAGCGGGGGAGCGAGGATTGTCTGGTCTGGCCCTTGGGGCTGCTGCGGGCGGAGCTGGGTTTGTCCAGGTGTGACGGGGTCCCTGGGGGGCAGCCGGGACTGCTGAGCTGCCTGTCCCCCCAGCCTGTGGTGCTGTGGCCAAGTTACCAGCCTCTGACGGGCACTGCCCAGCTGCGGTACACGAGCCATCTCCCGGTCACTTGAACCAACAACAGCCAATTCCTCCCCAGCCGTGCAGCCCAGTGCTGCCCCGTTCATTACCCGTCCGCCCCCCCTCGATGTGGTGAGGACACGCTCCGGCCTTTGGAAAGTGAGCTGAGATTCCCCAAGTTCTTCAACCAAAACAGGCTGTTTTCGGTAAAATATAAACCAGGTTTCGTAACCGCAGAGAGCTGCAAGGGATTGCAAGTACCACGTGTGGAGATCAGAGTCGGTTACTTAAGAAACAAGAAATTTGCATTCTGAGTTCTGCAGGCGAAGCAGGGGATGGCTCAAACTGTGTCTCACCCTGACCGATGGTACAAACAGGTCACAGATCCTCCCTCCCTGGCTGGGCCCATCCTCCCCCAGTTGGCTCTTTGCCTCCAGCCGGGTTTCCAGGAGTTGAGGTGGGGGGGAGTGAGGCCAAGTGATGACGGCACTTCCCTTCCTCCCGCGTGCAGTGAGGGGTCGGTCAGTCCTTGTTGGTCAGGCGTCTCCATTGCCCGCAGGCTCAAGGATGGGTGTTGATGAGCCGTTAACCCCTGTCTGGCGGCTCGCTGGGGCCTGAAGGCTGGCGGTGGGTGTTCCCAGCCTCACGAGGGATTTCAGTGCGTCAGACAACAAGCTGTTAACATTCAACAGATCAAGATTTTTAAAATGACACCTCACTGGGCGTACTTTATACCCCCCATATCCTCATTGCGAGACGGGGGGGATACGGGGGGTCCAGGGTGCTGTTCTGAGGTACCGTGTCACACCAGGTCCTGCAGGGGCTGGGGAAGCTGCGTGAGGGCAGCCTGTGTCCGTCACGCGGGGGCTCGGGCCAGGGCAGCTCGAACCCAAGGCATAGGGGCTGTCTCCCCTGGGTGTGCGACGGGTCGGCGCTGAGTCTCAGGACTGCTGGCTGAGCTGGTCTGTCCCGCACAGCCTCCCTGCCCCACATGCCCCCAACCCCTAGGCTTCCTGCTCTGTGGCGCTGTCCACAGGCCCTGCAGGTGGGGGTGTGGCAGCCAAAGCTCACAGCAGGGGAGGGGTTAACATCCCCCCCCCCCCCGTGATGCCGCAGGGCAGGCCTGTTTTAGGCACGGGAGACAGACGGAGCATCACGCGTCCAGCCAGGGTGGGCTGGGCAAGCTTTGCTTGCAGGGCAGGAGGGCAGCGCCTGCTTGGGGCAGGGTGGAGGCTGGGCCATGCCACTCGCAGCTGCAGTCACTCCCAAGGGCTAGTTCCTCTTGGCTGGGCCCGTTCCTCATCCGGGGAAGTTGAGCTTTCTAAAGACTTGGTGCCTTGCAACCGTTCTGTAAAATACTAGTAATGAACAGCGGCAGGCCAGTGCTTAGGAGACCCTATGATAACAAACCGCAGGGGAGGAGACCCCACAATCACAAACCAGCCTGTGTAGCATTCACAAGAGGCCCTACAATAACACACTGCTGTGTGCAGCCTATCCTCGGAGAGACCCTACAATAACAAACCAACGTGCCGCCTCCAGACGTGCTCGTGTAACACGCTGGGACATCATCCCCCACAAGTGAGACGAGATCTCTGAGGTCCAGGCCCGCTCCCGGCCGGGACTGGCCCCGGGGCCCGCTCCCCACGTCTCACACATGCTCTGCTGTGGCAGTGAAGAGGCCAGGGCTGCTGATTTCTGGTCCTGTTTGTGCTGTGTCAGCCCGACTGCTGCTGGAGCCGGGGCAGGCTCATGGGAACGTCCACACCGCAAGTGGAGTGAGGGCAGCAGGGTCAGCGCCTCCCTCCAGTCCCGCCTCCCTTGCTCAGTTTCAGGGCGTCGCCCGTCTCTTCCCTCCCAGCAGCCACGCCCGGGGCTTCAGGGAGACTGGTGCGCTGAGCGGAAAGTGCTGGGTCCTTCCTCTGTGTGGCTGCTGATTGCAGCTTCCTGCCTGGCTCTGAGCACATGGCTTACGGGAGACCTTTGGTGCCAGTGTCTGCTTGTGCTTCCCTCTCTGTGCAGTTCCTCCGGATCCTGCCTGGGGCAAGGGGGCAGGAACGGGCCCTGGATGTGTTTTCTTTGGCTCAGAACCGCGTTTTCCTGGTGGCTTCTGTGCAGTTTTAAAAAACAACGTTCGACGCCATCGTCCTGTCCCTTTCCAGCCTCTGCGTGCCAGGGAGGAAAGCCGTCGTTCACCACGCAGGGCTGCCTTGTTAAATTACTATTAGGTGTATTATGATAGCACCCACAGTCCCGAACCGAGATCAGGGCCCCGTCGCGCCAGGCGTCGCCCAGACCCCAGCAAGATCAAGGCCCCGTCGTGCCGGGTGCTGCCCAGACCCCACCTGAGATCAGGGCCCCCGGGCGCTGCCCAGACCCCAGCGAGATCAGGGTCCCCTCGCGCCACTCGTCGCCCAGACCCCAGCAAGATCAAGGCCCCGTCGTGCCGGGTGCCGCCCAGACCCCATCTGAGATCAGGGTCCCCTCGCGCCGGGCGCTGGCCAGACCCCAGCGAGATCAGGGTCCCCTCGCGCCGGGCGTTGCCCAGGGCCCTGTCATGCCGGGCGCCATCCAGACCCCAGTGAGATCAGGGCCCCATGGCGCCGGGTGCTGCCTAGACCCCAACCAAGTTCAGGGCCCCCGGGTGCCGCCCAGACCCCAGTGAGATCAGGGCCCCATCGCGCCGGGTGCTGCCCAGACCCCGACCAAGATCAGGGCCCTCGGGCGTCGCCCAGACCCCAGCGAGATCAGGGCCCCCTCGCGCCGGGCGCTGCCCAGAGCCCAGCCAAGATCAGGGCCCTGTTGCGCCGGACGCTGCCCAGACCCCAGCTGAGATTAGGGCCCTGTCGCACCGGGCGCTACCCAGACCAATACTTCTCAACTGATTTACCATTGGGGGATGCATCCACACAATATCCTGCCTGTGTGGCCTTGAGGATGTCACAAGGGCTGCCCCAGCGGGCCTTGTGTTGGGAAGCAGGGGCCTGGAGAGACCGTCCCCACCCCGGAGTGCTTGTGGCAGGACAAGGCAGTGCCGTTCTCCCCATGTTACAGATGGGGAACTAGAGCCCAGAGACTGAAAGGGGGGATTTTCCTATGGGCCGAGCCCCCGCGCCTCCCCATTGAGCTCTGACAATCCAGCTCCAGAGGTTGTGGCAGGACAAGGCCCTGGGTTCCTGGACTCGCAGCCCAGATCCCTGAGCACGAGGCCAGAACATTTTAACCTCGGGCAGGATGATCTTCCAGCACCTTCCATCTCGCAGTCTCAGGCCCCGGGCAGCCGGGCTGGTCCCAGCAGGTCTGGAGTGCCCAGCCCCTCCCTTCTGCTGCTTTCGGTGCCTGTTCGAAGGCTGGCTTTTTCCGTGGAGGAAAGGCAGCCACAGAGAGCAGCAGGCCCGGATAGCCACGGCCAGCGCCGTGCGCACGACGCAAGGCCATGCCGCGGCGGGGGCGCAGAACGCAGAGGGGCAGGTCAGCCGGATGTCACTCCGTCTCTCCCCAGAACTGCCTATCTCCATAGAGACAGTGCAATCCCCCCGCCCCCCATACAGACCCCTCTGTCTCTCTATTCTAGCTATTCATCCCCAGACAGGCCCCATAGCTAGCCATTCATCCATCCCCACACCGTCTCTCTCCCTCGGGACGCATCCTGCTGTCTAGCAGACCCGGCCAGCCAGCCGGGCACCTGGCTTCTCACACTGGTGCCCATCACCGTTGCCGCTGGGTTTCCGAGACCGTGCCTCCGGGCTGCAGGGAACAAGTGACCTGGCCAAGGCCAGACGGGAGCCCCTCCCTTTGCTCTCAGGGGTGCAACTGGCCTCTTCCTTTGACAGCCCCCTGTGTCTGCGTAAAGGTCTTAGCCAAGATTTTCACACACCCGGCCATGTGCTGCTGTCAACATGTTTGTTCTTGCAGAAGCTGTGTGGTGTGTGATAAGAAGCAGCTTTGCCCTTTTTTGGTGGTTTTAGAAGACCTCATAACTCACCAACCTCGGGGGAGGGGCTGACCAGGTCCTTTCCCTCACCAGTGAAGTGCAGCCACCTCTGGGGTGGAGCATGACAGCTGCACAACAAGACTGCACCACAATTTGGGACAGGAAGTGAAGGAGAGACCTGGATGCAGCTGAAGCCACAGGGAGGGGGCTGAGTTACAGCCAGGACATCTGCCCGGGGGGAAAAGTCTCAGATACTTCACTGCCTTTGAGGGTCAGGACATCGATCAGCCACCCGTCTCCCTCCTACCGCTTCTCACCCCTCGGGGAAGGGGGCAGCAGCCGGCTCCCCGGGGGATGCACCGAGAGGTCGGAGGCATCGGCACCATGAGGATTGAATTGCAGCTTGGCGAGATTGGGGGCTGATGCCGCTTGGGCAGCGTAAAAGGGGTGGAAATGCCCCCTACGAGTTGCCTCCCCATACAGGGCCTCCCAGCCCTGCGTGGAGTGGGCACAAAGGCCTGCGCCCAGCCCCTGGTGTGGGGGACAGAGCAGGCGCATGGCCAGTATGCGCGGTGCTGTGCCCAGTCTCTGCTCCCCCGGGGCCCGGTGGGAAGCAGAGGGGCAGAGCAGCGGTGAGGCTGTGGGGTAGGCAGTGACCCCATCTTGTCGCAGCCCCAAGGAGCAGCCTGTGGGATTGCCCCTGGTAGCCGGGCTGGTCGCTCCCAGAGAGCGGGGAAAGCATGCCAGGATACGCTGCTCAGCCCGGAGCAGGAAGGGGTGGGACCTGCCTTGTGGGTGGCCTCTCCAGACACACGGTTCTCCTGGTGCAGGATGACATCTCACTGCCTCTGTCTGGGCCTGATACCCCTGGTTCTGCTCTGTTGCCTGCCTCTGGGTAAGCTGCGTGTTCTCCGGGTCCGCAGGCGGGGAGCTCAGGCCGCGTGGCTGGGGAATTTGAAGATGAGCAGTCGAGAGTGGGTTCAACCTTCTCTTCCCGACTTGCCTGTAGTGTCGCAGTGCCACACGCATCCAAACCTGCCCGGCAGGTGCCAGCTGGTGCCTTTAGCTCTGGGGCCGGGCCGGGGTGATTTGGAGCGGGGCACCGGGACCTGGGCTCTGTAGTCACAGCTCGGGGTGAGGCGAACCCCAACGGGGCTCCAAAGGGCTAGACCGAGCGCCCCTCGGGCTGTGGCTGAAACTGCAAGGGAGGGAGCATCAGGGCCGGCCGGCTTTGACACACACAGACCTTGTGAGTAGCAGAGACTCTCCCACCCTGGCAGAAGCGTTCGTTGGAATGGCTCTGCGCTGGCCGGGGCCCCTCCCAAGCACTAGTGATGGCTGGAGATGGTGATTCTCTGCATATTTCGGCAGCACGGGACAGCCCCGGCTGGCGTCGGGCTCCTGTCGTGCTGGGCGCAGCGCAGAAGCAGCGTGAGAACCAGTCCTACTGAAACAAGCTCCCAGAGACTGAAGGTGGAAAACAAGCCCATAAAGGGGAAATTACTTCTCCTAGGTCAGGCATAAGGCAGGAAACAGAACCTCCCACTCAGCACTCTGCCAGCTGGCACGCTGGGCTTCCAGCCCCCGTTCCTAACCCAGAGAGAGGGAGGAGGTTAAAGAGTTAACATTTGCAGACCCGTAGGGAGGACACGGATCTGACTGGTGAGTTACAAATGAGCCACGGCCCTTGGCTTTGACTCGTTACTTATAATGATTTTATTCTTGAGTTCTTTGTAACGTCACCGCCAACCCCCCGACTTTACAAAGAAAGGCCGGGCTGCCCCAGGATGCGAGTGGGAATTGCCCGCTGGGTCTTGCGTCGCTCTGAGTGAATCAAGTTTAAACAGCTTGCGGGGGGGAGGGGGGGTCCATTGGAGTGTAAATGCCAAGTCTGTGTGTGGGTGTGGGACGTCTGTAGCATCCCTCGCAGGGCGACGGGGGCCGTGTAAACCTGGGAAGTGGTCTGAGCATCAAAGGACTATTTTAAACTATGTGCCAGACAAAAAGAAACTTTGGGGATAAGAAAAATTCAGTGGGTTTCCCACGAAATACCTGGGGATGGGTGGGAAGCAAGTTCCCACCTGCAGACCCAACCTTCAGAGGCTATGCCCTGAGCAAAGAACCACTGTCCGGCTGACTAGCTGTTCCCGGGCTCTGAAGACCAAAGACCTGAGCGGTGTACAGGGGAGACTGACCTGGCACGGGGGTGCGTGTTGTTCTGAGTGTGGGGTGGGGCTTGCAGCACTGCCTGGGGTGGTCTCTGGGACGCTTGTGCCGGCCCGTTCATCGCTCTGTGTCTTCTCCGTAGCGCTTTCACCTGAGAATAACAGCCTTAGGAAGGGCCGGGGAGTAGCTTGTGCTTGGGGCCAAAGCGCCTGTGACAGGTCCCCTCGGGGGGGAACCTAGAACTGGGGTACCACTGAACCCCCCGACCCACCAGCCTGGCCTCCCTTTACACTGTACTGCTGTGACCAGCCTGCCAAGCCCCCTCCCAGGCTCCAACCGGCACTTTACCAGCACACACACAGGTAGGGACACACCCAGCCGCAGTTACATACAGACGCTGTGAGAAGCTCTGCATGGGGAGGCACAGCTAGGGCACCTCCCAGTTCCTAAGCGCCCCCCCCCGAGTGTAAACCCAGAATTATACCCTCTTGCACTGCACCAAGAGCTCCACAGCGCGAGCTCATGAAATTCGCCCCCTCCCTCAATGTGGAGAGGAAATACGCAACAGCTTTCTGCCCCAAGTTGCTACACCCACACGCTGGTTTTAGACAAAGCAAAAATAAGTTTATTAAATACAAAGGATAGATTTTAAGTGATTGTAAGTGAAAGCAAATTACCTAGTAAATAAACAAAACCGCAAACTGAGCGTAACACACTAGATAGGTGGGATACAAATTAGCAAATTCTCGCCCTGAGTGATAAACAGGCTGGCGGATTCTTAAGGCACAAGCTGCCTTGGCTTTCCCAGGTTTTCATACACAGGCTAAAAATCCCTTTAACCTGGGACCATCACTTCCCCCCTGTTCAGTCTTATTCCTCAGGTGTTTCCAGGTGTGTTGTTGTAGGGAGAGTGAAGTCCCCCCATGATGTCATTTCCCCCTTTTTATATCTTCTCCCCACTTGCTGGAAAGCTCTTTTGCCATGACTTGGGTCAAACAGTTCCCACTATGTAGAGCTGGCTCTGAGACATAGGCGCCGACTTCCCCTCTTTCCCGTGGGTGCCCAACCCCCCACTCTGCCCCCGGCCCCGCCTCCACCCCACCCCTTCCATGAGGCCCTGCCCCTTCCCACCCCTTCCCCAAAGTCCCCGCCCCAACTCCGCCCCCTCCCTGCCCCTATTACAACCCCTTCCCCAAAGTCCCCGCCTCTTCCCTACCTCCTCCCCTGAGTATGCCACGTTCCTGCTCCTCCCCCACCCTCCCGGAATGCACTAATGCTGCCAAACAGCTGTTTGGCGGCGGCCGGGCGGGAAGCGCTGGGAGGTAGGTGGAGGAGCGGGGACGTGGCGCACTCGGGGGGAGGAGGAGGTGGGGCAGGTGGTGAGGGGAGCTTAGCTGCTGGTGGGTGCAGAGCACCCACTCATTTTTCCCCATGGGTGCTCCAGCCCACGAAGTCGGCGCCTATGCTCAGAGAGGTTTCTATTGCACACAGTTCCTGAGGTGATCCTTGTGCTCGTGTGAATTTCTTCAATCAGCCACCAACATTGTTTGGCCTTTTTACTGTTGTGCCTGAAAGGCGGCTTGTGGGTGTTTTCAGCCTCAGCACGTTTCAGTAACAGGTACATTGCCAAACTTCATAACTTCACATACGACGATAGCACCGACAGTCCAACGAGACATTCATGTCTAGCAGACCAAGACTTTTAGGATGCTACCTCACAAGGCAGACTTGTACAAACCCTGTCCTAATTACACGACAGTGGTGAATATTACGGTGCCAGGGTGCCACAGCACCGTTCATGGCGTTGCAGAGAAAGCACCGCGTTTGGTCACCGCGTAGGCAGGGAACCCTGCAGGAGAGTGAGATCTGCGGGTCTCTGCCCAAGAGAGGTGATGCCTGAGGAGTGCAGTGCTGGGGGAGTGGAGAGGGGGGCAAACACAGGTGCAGTTGCCCTGAACTGTGACAGACACTTTGCCAGGCCTGCTGCCCCCTTGTGCATCCATTCTGGGCACTGACTGAGGAGGGGTCCTGGGAGAGAACATCCCAGTGCCCGGCTAATTAACGGCTGTATCTCCAGGCGGGAGAAGGGGGGTGAAGGCTGCCGAGGCCCCCCTAGATCTGGCATTTCCTCACTCCCCGGGGCTACATGCAGCTGTAACAACCCCCCCCCCCCCCCACACACACACACACACACACACAACCCA